GAAACGCAGAGCCGAGAAACCAGCAGAGAAGTCTGTGGGACTTCTGACCTACAGAACTATGACCTAATGTATTTGGATTGTTTCAAGGCAGTAACAATTTGTTACTGATCATTTGTTATAGCAGCAATAGAAAACTTATGCCGACCTTCTAAATCACAGAAAAATGGAAGCAAGGAAAGGAACAATTTCAAATTTCTACAGACATAACTTTGTCACTCCCACACTTCTGCCTTTTCCCTTTGGTATTGGAGAAGCTGTTTCTTCTCATCTTCCAAGCCATTCCTTCCTAGTGCATTCTGGATACCGTCTCCTCTGACTTCTCCTGAACCTAGTCGCTGGTTATCCTCCACTTGTCCCTCTCTTCATTTCCTTCACTGACTCCTTCCAAGTAGCTCAATCAATTATAAGATAATGAACTTGAGAACATTTTCATCACCCCAGAAAGAAACCTATACTCATTAGCACCAACTCCTCACTCCCACCAACCCAAATTGTATTTTATAAAGTTATCCTGGTAAAGCTTTAGCACCGCTTACAGCTCAGCACTCCAAGAAGCCAATTCACTGGCCCCCAGCTGACCCCAGCTCTTCCTTACCCACTCGATCAGGATTCCACTCCACCAGTGTTACTGAGTCCTTCTAGTGAGGCCGACAAAGACTCTGTGTCTCCAAATGCCAACAGACTTCTTCAGTTTTATTTAACTTGCTCTCTCCAGAGCATTTGGTACGGATGACCATGCCACCTTTCTCAAAAAGCCTTTTACTCAGTATCCTCGACACAGCACCCTCCTGGTTTGCTCCCTGTTGCTATAGTTATGCATTTTTTTTGTCTCACCTGTAGTATTCTCCCTTACAAATTGGGCTGTCCCCTGTACCTCTTCTCACTCTGTACTCCCTCTCTTGGCCATCTCATGTTTTCCTGTGGCTTTCTTATTATTTACATGCTGACTATTCTAAAATTTACATCTCCAGTGGAGCCTCTTCTTTGAGTTCCAGATTAGTATTATTAGCTGTCTACTTGACATCTTCATTTGAGCAAACCACTTCACAAACTTATATTTTAAATTCATCAATTTCCTTCACAATTGTATCTTGTCATTCCTTATCTTAGTAGGGGCACTACCATCCATCCAAGTGCTCAAGTCAACAAATTAAAAAAGTAGGAGTGACCTTTGACTCTATCTCCATTTCTAATCTACAAATTCTATTATACTTCAAATTCAGTCTACTTCTTACCTGCCCGTCACCACTCTTCCAACACAGACCACTGCCATTTTGCACCTAGATGCTATAAATCTGGTAATATACCCTCCCCCACCTTCCTCTGGTCCAGAAGTAGCATGGGCAATAATCTGAATAAAATGTGGCACACAGTACCTCTCATTTACCTTTTTGAATACTCCATATACTTTTATTTAATACATAGTATAGTAGTACTAACTAGAAAAAAAAGGTAGTCTAAGAGTTTTCATTAATAGAAAAATGTAAAAATACTATACTAAATCACATGGAGTTTAAGAATTCCACTACCAGATTTCAGAGAGACTAAGTATACAATTACACACATGCACAAACACATACTTTTTTTGGCACACCAAGGAGCCACTAATATGGTAATTGTGAGGAAAAAGTACATGATACAGTGCTATATTTTTAAAAACCCAAATAAGAATCCTATGTATGAGGCTATTGAAATTATCTGAAACAATAGAAATCTAAGGAAAGAAGATTAGATACCAAAATGCTAACGGTGGTTATATGTTTTTCTTTTCCATTTGCTCTATAATACAGTAATATTACCTTATTTTTAGATAAAGTTTAAATAAATAAACATGTTTTAAAAATGAAAAATAGAAGAGTATTGTTACATCGGAAGGGTTATATCCATGTAGATGTGCTTTAAGGAATGGTGGTCAAAATTATGAACTTTGGAACCAGAAGGTCCTGTTTTTATGCCCTGATGACGCCAGTTACCTGAGTGTGATGTCAGGAAAATGACAATCTCTCTTAACTTTGGCTACCTCAGATGTAAAGGAGGATACTGTGAGTACCTAACTCAGATGGTTGCTGAAAGGATTAAATAAAATAATCTAGGTAAAGCAATTTGCACAGTCCCTGGCATATAATAAGTACTCAATAAATGGTAGGTGTGTGCTCTCTGGATGGACCTGGCACAGGGTGAATATCTGACACCCCAAATCCAGGTGGTGAACAGCCTTAATCTCTAGTTGTTCTGGGTGTTAATGTCTTTCTAATAGACAGTAAACTTTTTTATGGTATGAACTCATATTCATGCCTTCTAAATTCTAATATTGCTTGTGTTGTTCTTTTTAATTTCAAAAGTGATGCAGGGTCATTGAAAAATAGTCCACAAATACAAGTTTCCCCCAACACTCTGCCCTTCTCTATCTCATTGTCAAAGGGTAATATATAGTTTGATTCTGGATTTTTCAGGCCTGGTGGTGTTTGCTTGACAAAAACGGTGTGTGTGTATTTGTGTGTTTTCCCTGTGTCTATGTTTTTCAGTTAACAAGGACAGATTTCTAAGTCAGAGACTATGGAAATATTTTATTCTTTTTTTTCATTGTCTACATAGTATCCCATATCATGGAGTTACTTGATAATTGGTTTGTTTTTAAAGCTTATTCCTTGGTTTATTTCTATATTTCACTCATTCAATAATTATTTGCCAGGCACTATGTTGGATCCTGGGAAAATTATAAAGAATGTTGCAGTAAACATTTTTTTTTTAAAGCAAACTTTCCCATTGCTCAGACATATATTTAGAAAATGCACATGGTGATTCTCAGGTAAACAACATGGTCACAAAATGGGAACCCAGGACACATTTGTTGCTTGAGTCAGTAACTTACCTACATCCAGAGCAGGAGTTATTCAAAGAGAAGTACTACTGATGTATGTTTTCCACCCTCATCAGTATGTTTTATCATTCCAAAGAAATATCTATAAAATTTGATTTACAGTACACACTGGTTTAGGATAACAAAAACTGACAAGAACACCCTTGTCAGCCCTTCCTCTCCTTTAGAGCATTCTGCCCTATTATTTTTGACTAATAAGGAAATTAGTAAACTTTGATACATTGTAAGAACAAAGGGTCCAGATAAAAATGTTTAAAAAAAGAAATCACCTCTACCAAATGGTTTCCCTCATTTGTGGAATATAACAACGAAGCATAACTGAAGGAACAAAATGGCAGCAGACTCACCAACTCCAAAAAGGGACTAGCAGTTACCAAAGGGGAGGGGTGGAGGAAGGTGGGTGGAGAGGGAGGGAGAAGGGGATTGAGGAATACTATGATTAGTACACATGGTGTGGGGGGATCATGGGGAAGACAGTGTAGCACAGAGAAGGCAAGAAGACTCTGTGGCATCTTACTACCCTGATGGACAGTGACTGCAATGGGGTATGGGGAGGACACGATAATAAGGGTGAATGTAGTTACCACATTGTTTTTCATGTGAAACTTTTATAAGAGTATATATCAATAATACCTTAATAAAAAAATTGTATTAAAAAATCACCTCTTTCTATAAGAGCGACAAGTCACTTTTTCAAAACAAATTAAGATGAATTATTTGCTTTCTCATATATTGACAATGAATAGCATGGAACAACTGCAGGTAACTCGATCACATTATACTTTACATTTACTGGAGGATATTTAAGTGGTATATATAATCAAATCACCTAGTTCTATATTTCACAGTATTTAAACTGAGGCACAATAGTAGCCACAAATTCAAAACTACCCATTTAACAGCCTCCCATACAGACAGTGGTCTTCCTATGATGCAGCTGCAGGATGTACATCATGCAAGAAGGCAGACAGGATGTCAAGCTTTTTGGGGTCTTTTTACTTCATTCTTCTACATAGTCCTAAAAGTCCATGCCATCATATTTTGAGATCTGTAGAAAATCTAATTCATATATCTATATCTATATCAATAATGTTCAAATATTGGTGTCATAGAGTAGGTTGCAGGTGGGATATTCACCCTAACTTGCCTGTGACTACACATTTGGATCTAATCCCTCTGTGTTACCCATAGACAGGACACCCAAGCTTCTGATTACATCTGTGATTGTCTATTAAAATCTGTTGGTTTGAATTTCCATTTTCTTTGCCTGCATCCTACCAAACCAATTCATTTGGTATTGCCTTTTGAGGAAAATGCCTGGGCTTTGTAAAATTGGAAATCATCTCTTGAAAAGGAATAATAAATCTAAGGAAAATAAACTTCAATTGTTGGTGTTCTCTTCTGGGTTCTTAACTTTCTGTAGCTTTAAATGAGTGCATTTTCCAGAGCAAGGATTTTAAAACTTCGGCTAATTTCAGGAGCCTTTTCTTTTGGGGGAAACTTATATAGTTATACACTACAGTTGTCCCTTTCGGGAATGTAGTGTTTTTGTTTGTTTGTTTGTTTGTTTCTGTTACTGTAATGTTTGATTACCACAGACATGTACATACATGATTTATGCACTAGACATCTAGAGATGCCTCTCAATTATTTTTATTATATGAAGTCACCTAAAAGCCAGTGCAAATCCTAAACATAATTATCTTGTTTGGAGGAACAAGTTAACATAAAATTTCTGTCAGTTTGGCCAAAGTCACTAAAGATTTGGCCAAATTCCCTCAGATTCATCCCAATTAGAATCTGAAGCTGCCACCGTTTACTTTGAAAACTGCCCAGCAGGTGTATGAATAACAATTCCAAGAAATGTAGAGCTTTGATCATTTTTAAGACGGTAACACCCCTTCTAAAAACAGTTTCTGAGCTCATCAAAGAAACCACACACAGCCGCCTTGTGCTCCAAAAAGTACGGAGAAACCCAGTGTTCAGTAGAGCAAAGAACTGGTCTTTCACTGTTTATTTTGGTTACGGTTTCTTACCCTTAAAGAGAAGCAAATCAATTAGCAGGTCAAATGACATGGTGGTTAGACACTGAAGGGAAAGTATTATTAGTCTCATTATCTTGGAGCAGCCATCCAGCGCACACCTAGAGTTGCCACGGTGCCAGTGAGTAACCCTGCCAGGCAACCCCGTGAGGTTAGGAAAACTACCTCTCTGATTTGGGCCCGGGCACCACCCAGTGAGTAAGTGCGGGAGAGCCCAAGCCCTCTCACAGAGACCCAGAAAGCAGCCCCTGAATGAGGCGAGGTGCGGAGGTGAGGGGGCGCCTTTCCCAGTCCCACCCTTGAAAGTTGCTGGGAGTGGCACCCCGAGAACTTTCCCAGATTGATCTCTGTCACCGCTCAGGGAGGTCTGCTCGGGCCCTCAGCCTTCCGCCCTAATCCAATCGGGGCTGCCGGCCAAATCCCTCCTTCCCTGCACCTTTAAAGGCTGGGAGAGGGGAGGGTCGGCTGCGTTCTTCTTAAGAAGTCGCACCGGTTTTTCGAGCTTCGCTCCGCGCCCCGAGAGCCACGGCAGCGGGAGCGGGCGCTGCTGCCACCGGGCCCGCGGGTGAGTCACTGTTGGGAAATGGAGGGGGCGGGCGAGGGTGTGAGAGAACGAATGATGTCAGGGGCGCGCAGGGCGGCGGGCGGGGAGAGCGGCCGCGGGCCGGGTAAACACGGAGCGCCGCGCCCGGGCCGAGCGGGCGGGAGACCCGCCCTCGGCGCGCAGGGCCGTCCTTCGCCGCGCGAGCCCCGGCCGTGCTGCAGCGCCGCCGGGAGCGGCCTCGGGGGCGCGGCCGCGGGAAGGACCCGGAGAGCTGCTTCCCTGGAGGGCCCGCAGCGCGGGCGGGCGAGACCCCGAGCAAACTTTCTAGCGCCTTCGGCCCCTCGGTGGCTGCGGCGCCGGCGCCGTGCCCTAGCGGATCCCCGCGGGAGCCGGTGCCTTCGGCTGGAGCGGCCGGAACCCCGGCCCGGAGCGGTAAGGAGCGCCCGGAGGAGCTGGGGAGGCAGCCCGGCCGGCAAGCGGCGCGCTGGGCGAAGCGCGTGGAGGGGAAGGCGGGTGGCAAACAGGGACGTGGCTCTAATTCGCCCCGAGCGCCCCGCCCCAGGGCATCCTTGCTTGATTTTCCTAATAGAGGACGGATGTGCGGCTTAGTCTCCTTGCTCTGAGCAGTCATCTCATTCATTTGCAACCAGATTGGATAACTAGGTCCTGACGTTCAAAGGACCTAGGTTAATCTGTAGGTTGTCCAGAGCCACTCCGTAGGTCAGGGCTGAAGTTCAGGAGGGGGAGGATGGACTGCCTTTTTATTTTTTGAGAGGCACCTTCTGAGAATGGGTGAACAGTAATAGCCCAACTCTGGGCTCTGGGCTGCCAACATTGAAACCTTTCAACATTAGGCATTCCGGAGTTACTCCCCTTAAGGAAGGGAAGGCTTGGTTCTCAGAGCAAAGAGCCGGGAGTGACCTGTCTACCACTCTGAAATACGGATAATCGTTAATATACCCGCGGCTAACTCTTGAAACAACTCAAATGTTATGCCTGTAATCTTTTATTTTTATCATTCTTCGCCATTCGTCTATTTCATCCTACCTGCTCTAAAATAACCTTAAAATCATTTGACATGTTTGTTAATTTTTTTAAGAGATTCAACTGTTTAGCGTCTCATTTTGGGGGAATGGATTCTGAATTTAAACTTTACTTCAAATCCTTGGTTTCTGTCTTAGTCTCATCTATTTAACGGTAGGTTCTCAGTCACATTAAACACGCTAAACAGTAAAATGGGTTGGAGCTACTTAAGAGAGTATTAATGAGAACCAAGACGCAAAAGACCTATCTCCGTGCCTCACCACAAAGCAGACCCCAACAAATTGAAACTATTTAAATATAAATAATAATGTGTCCCAGCTGACTTACATAATAACCAATTAATTTCCACAAAATTTCCTACTTATAAACTTGGTGGGCCGAGGTTTAGCATGTGAAATTCTTTGGCAAGTTCCTTGGAGTGTGAAGTGATGTCCTCAGGAGGTTTCAGGTGGGTACCTGGAAAGTTTTTTGCTCCCACCCTATATCAGGGGGATTGCCGTTCACTGTTTTAACAGAGCAGTGGCTGAACGTGAAAAACCTGGGGTCTATAGGTAGACTGGATGTGTGGAAAACTCTTCAGTTTTACCCTTAACTTTGTTTCTTTTCTTAAAAATAAGCAATACAAAAATTTCCTTTTTATAGCCCTTTCCTTGGTTTGCTGTTAGTCTTCCTTCACAACAGTCTCTGGTTGAAGTTCTTTATACAAGTTAATATTTAATTTCATTTCTTTAGTTTCATTTTTAAGTAAAGCTGGTTTTAACTTAGGAATCTGGAGCAGAAACCCTGGGTACCTCTGGGTTGCTGCCTCCTGCTCTCAGTTTCTTGTTGCTCTCTGGGATTCTTAGAAGAGCCCTAGGAAATACTTGGGAGGACAGCAAGTATTTGTTCTGACATTATTCTAAACATTTGTTCTTATAAAAACTTTTAGGGTCAAAGGTCGCTAGGGATGTTTTCTAGGGTGATGTAGGAGGACGTTGGGTGCTGGAATCCAGGAAATCTGAGGCTTGCTGGGTAGTAACTTACTAGTTGTCTTACTCTGAATAAGTTACTTGAATCCTCTGGGATTCTTACAGGACTTTTAAACAAAATATAGGAGGAAAAAATAGAAGTAATCTTACATCTGTTAAACAACGGAATACATTTTTTGAGAACTTTTCTTTTTAGCAGAATGCTAATGCTACTTTGAAGTGAGATATTTTTAATTTTGTTTGTTTTTATTTGTTTTGGAACAGTTACTGAGAATTCTAGACAGTTTCAGACTAGAGTAGCCTGTCCACCTTTATCTCATTTTCTTGTGGGGGTGTTGAAACCTCTATCCTGAACTACTACAGTCAGACATTTATTTAGTTCATTCAGTTGATGAACATTTAGTAAGCAGCTATTATATTTAGCCACTCTTCTAGCTACTCTGATGCTGTCATGAAGGAGACACTGTAACTGCTCTTGAGGCTTACTGTCCAGTAACAAAAGCCCCTAGCCTTTGATTATGGAGAGGGAATAAGAGTTAAAAAGGAGGAGAGGGGTGGGGAGTTGGGAGGAAAGTCATTAGTCTACATAGACTGCCTCCCCCAGATGATGCAGGATCTAGTGACTTTCTAATGGGTCTTAAACTCTTGAATTGGGACTCATAAATTCTTATGAGGCTCAATAATGTAGGTATGCCTTGCTTTATTTACCCAATGAAAATATGATGGACAAGTTTAGCCACTAAATTGAGGAGTTTTAAGTGAACCAGAGAAAACTTGTTTCAATGAAGTCTGAAAGATAAATTCAACTGAGTCAAAATTTATTTACTGTGAGCAAAGCAGTATGGTAGGTTTTTAAGAGAATAAACACTGTGTGTGATTATTCCAATTTATTGTTTTTTTTCCCCATGTTACAAGTAGTATGTTACTTACGGAAATTTAGAAGTTACAGGTTAAACCAGGCATCACCTAGAAAGTTGATGTTATAGCCTCATTTTTTTTTCACATATAACACATGTGGACATATAACACAAAGTACTGACAAACATGTTTTGAGCTTACTGTGAGCCAGGCAATGTGCTCATTTCTTTATACACACAATCTCCTGTGATTCCCCACTCCAACCCAATGAGGCAGATACTATTATTATCCCCTTTTTATTGAGGAGAAAAGTGATCTAGGGAAATTAAATAACTTCCCTATAGTTGCACAGCTGGAAAGTTATTCTCTACAAAACTGTGTTCATTCTCTAAATAACTATTTTCTAACTTACTTTTTTTCTCACTCAATTACGAACTTCTCTATATCACTAGAATATTCTCATAGAGTGTCTTTTATGGTTTTCTATTATATGGCTGGATTCTGACTTGACTAATCCTCTATTGTTGGACGGTTACATTGTTTATAGTTTTCAGTATTTTGAGCAACTCTGTGTTAAGTATCCTATCTATATTTATCTGCATATCCATGTCATTCTGTATTTTAAAAATTGAAATATAATGTTTAATTTAGCTGCTGTCTTTTTTTTTTTTTACCATATTCAGAATTAGAAAACTTTCTCTGTTTTAAAATTTAAGAGTTTTAATTTCTGTGTTGCTTTAGTGTTTCTCGTAAGATTTCAGCAATAGGATCAACATTCTCTGTGGAGCTACACAATAGGCAGTAGCTCATTATTCAAGGGATTATTTAACGAAAACAGAACACAAGCTTTCTCAAGAGCTATCTGGGTTTGTATTATTGTTACTAGCAATAAAAGTAAACTGCTTTTGTGGGGAAATATAGCAGAATGGAACAGTGCTAATTTAGGTCTCTAAAAGAAATTACACTTCTACAGTCTCCGCCCTTAGTACCTACTAAGGAACACAGTTAAATTTTGAAGATATTACATTTAACAGATTTATTGCTAGGTTTAGAATAAGGTCCATCACTTATGAATAGGTCACCTTTTTTAAAACCTACACATTTGTTGTTTGATCTCTTAAAAAGCATGTAATTGGTAAGACATTTCTGGATTAGTTTAATGAAGGGGCAAGATATTTCTATTAGCTAACCTTCATTATTGTTATAAACCATTTCTTCATTTAAACATTCTCAGGTTTTGCTATAATATCATACCCTCTTTGTTACTTTGAGTCAAGATTTTAATTTTGCTTTGGGTTTATATTTCCATTTCCAATGCTAGTTACTTTATTCTTACTGTTTTGATAAAGGATATTGTAATATGAGTGGTGGTCAATTCAACCTCTTCATACAGAAGCCCAGATGAGTTCGATTTATTAATTTCTAACAATGACTTGTAATTCAACGTGGAACGTGAAGAAGCAGTTGATAGAATTAAAGGATAAATAGGACAGCCATTTGCTGATTGGTGTTCCCTACTGCCAAACCCTAATTTGATGATTTGCTTAAAATTTAAAATTCAGACTTAGAACTTTGCATCTTAGTTTGGTAGTGTCACTAAAAATTTTCAGACCAAACTTGTATACAATCTTAGATTTTTTTTTTTAAGCATCAACTAATGGAGTGTTTCTCATAGTACATCTTTTCTTTCAATAAACCTCTTTATGCTATTCAAAAGAAAAAGCAAAACCACATACTAAAATTGTTAAAGAGAAGGGGTGAAAGGAGATGAAAGGCAACAGGTTCAAAGCCAACATGTCAGAAAAGACAGCGACAGCCCACTACTGAAAGTCAAATCAAGAATAAGACTAGTTGGGCCCTTCAGGTAGGTGTCACTTCTCTGCCTGGTAGTGCCATGCTGAGGTTCGTCTGTAGTGACACATTTCAAGATCAGACGTCAGGGCTAGCCTCAGGCAAAATTAGGAAGCAGATGAAATACCCCCTTAGGACATCCTTAACTCTAAGTTTACCTGGCAGTACTTGCTTTATTCAAGAAAATGCTCAGTGAGTATCTGAACAGAGGCAAATTGCTATCCAACTGAAAAAGTGGAACTACAGGACTCACATTTATGAAAGTTGGAGGATGTATATCTACCCCTGAAATTTAATCAC